TGTACTTGTCAGCCCCCGTAATCACATAACGCAGTTCCTAAAAGTTAACCGCCCTGTTTGCCTCCAGGAACTCTGATTGATACGAGGAATATTGAAATCATCTCCAACGGTAAGTGTGCACTTACCCATTTCTCCTTGCATTTCTGCTTTGTGTATTTTGTTTGTATTTATTTATTTAAAAATTTTAAAAAGTCTTTATTTTTGAGGGAGAGAGACAGAGCACGAACAAGGGAGGGACAGAGAGAGAGGGAGACACAGAATCCGAAGCAGGCTCCAGGCTCCGAGCTGTCAGCACAGAGCCCGGCGCGGGGCTCGAACCCACGAACCGTGAGATGGTGACCTGAGCCGAAGTCGGACGCCCAACCGACTGAGCCCCCCGGGTGCCCCGCTTTGTGTATTTTGAAGCTCTGTTAATAGACGCATAAATATCTTGGATCGTTATGTCCTTTTGATTTATTTTCTTACCATTTTATATGACAATCTATGACTTTTAATTTAGGTATTTAAACCAGTAACAATTAAAGTGACTTCTTAAGAGGAGACAGAAGTTTATTGAATAGACCACAAAGGAGTGGTCAGTAGAGGAGTAGGCTGTCTGCAAAGGGATTTTTTTTTTTTTTTTTTTTTTTTTTGAGAGAGAGAGAATTGGTGCAAGAGGGAGAGGGAGAGAGAGAGAAGGGGCTCACCCGATGTGGGGCTTAAACTCACACTTAAACTCACTCACCCACCCGATGTGGGGCTTAAACTTCAGATCATGGCCTGAGCTGAAAAATCAAGAGTCAGACGCTGAACCAACTGAGCCACCCCGGGGAACCACTGCTATTATTTTTTATTAATCAAGGCTGAAAGCCCAGGACTGCCAGCAGCAGTGTGGAGAGGTACGAGGAGGAACAGGTCCTCCAGTCCTAAACAGGCAGTCTGGACAGCGTATCTTCTGCATCACGGGCTAAGACTGGAAAAACCAGACTGAAAAAGTGGGGTTGGGAAATCATTGAACACCTTGAGTCTGTTCAGGCTGGTATAATAAAGGGTCCTGGCCCGGGTAGGGGAGAACCCCCTTCCAGGCTGCAGAGAGCCGACCTCTTCCTTGTGTCCTCACATGGCAGAAGGGACGAGGGAGCTCTCTTGGGTCTCCCTCATAAGGGCACTAATCCCATCCGTGATGACTCCACCTCTCAAAGGCCCCCACCTCCTAATATCATCACACTGGCCACCAGGTGTCAACCTAAGAATTTGGGGGTGGGTTGGGGTGGGGAACACATTCAGGTATAACACACATAATGTGCATTGTTGCGTTGGCTTGGGCCATCTGTTACACAAATTCATCCAACCCTTGGGACCTTCACCTGATGTTTATCCTACTTAAATCAAAGCCACTCGAAGACTAGATTCCCAGTCTAGGCTTGAAACAAGTAAGATGCAACTCTGGAGAAAAGATCCTAATCCGTTCTGCCCCAGATCGGATGACAAAGTCACAAGCATGATGTTTATAATGACGTGTCACGTGACACACCATCTCCGGTTCCAGTAAAGCATCAGTTGTAATGGAGGAAACACTGCCAACTGCTCTCCACTTCAGGGGACCCCATTTCTTCTCCAAGGAAAACACGCAGCTCAGGGCTTGGGCATTGCATAGAGAGAAAGAGTGAGAAAGGCAAAAGGGGTGCCTGGGTGGCTCTGTTGGTTGGTTGAGCGTCCGAGTTCGGCTCAGGTCACCATCTCACGGTTCGTGGGTTCGTGGGTCATGATCTCGAGGTTCGTGAGTTCAAGCCCCACGTCGGGCTCTGTGCCGACAGCTCGGAGCCTGGAGCCTGCTTCGGATCCTGTGTCTCCCTCTCTCTCTGCCCCTCCCCGGCTTGTGCAGTCTCTCTCTCTCTCAACAATAAACATTAAAAAAAGAGAAATAATATTCAGAAATACATATAATACATATCACGATTTGGACCAATAATAAGAATTCTTTAAATGTAGAATTTATCACATATTTATGTAATTGATTATTGTTTTATCACTAGATGGCTACATTTTTTTAAATATTTATTTTTCAGAGACAGAGCCAGCGGGGAGGGGCAGAGAGGGAAGAGAAAGAGAGAATCTCACGAAGGCTTCCCGCTGCCGGTGCAGAGCCCCTGGCGGGGCTCAGACCCAATCAGTGATATCGTGACCTGAGCTGAAACCAAGAGTGGACAAGAGCCACCCAGACGCCTCTAGAAGGTTGGTTACATTTACTGTACTGTACAGAATATTATAGTTCATTACAACATTCGATATTACTAAACTCCAATACATTAATACGTTAATTATGGTAGTTTTATTGTTGCAACATATTATTGATAACACAAATCAACATATTGGTATTAGTAAGAAATAGTATCATTAAAACACTTTCACCAAGCAAAAAACGGATTATACGTTTCCATGATTTGTTAACCAATAGGCAAATCTGTATGTCTCTGGCTCCGCGCCAAATGGAAGGCTGGCAATTTGCCCCTCATTTAAGGCCTGGCGGAGCCCCCCGCACACCTGCCCGACGGCGCGG